ATCCAGTCCGGGCCGCGGAAAAGCCCAAGGAGAGGACCGGGTTCACACTCGGCGAATGCTAGTGCTACAAGATTGCCTGTCCCTTTGTTGCCGTTGGATCCTCCAGTACCCTAGGACCATTCTCACTACCTGTTAAGCCTTGCCTCGCAGCATCACCCAAACCAACAATTCTGACAACAGAGCAACTGAGAAAAGTCAGCGAAACTGCAGCTGTTATAATTAATGTTCAAATCATTTGTATATTATTTATTCAATAAAATACGTTCAGATCATAATTAAAGACTTGCAAAGGGACGCAAAAGGACCAGCGGCCTTCCCCACTTTGGGTGAAACGTCAGGTGATACAATTATTTCAAGTACGTTAAGGGTAACTTTACCCAGCTATGACAAAGAGCTGGGGTAAAATGTCCCAAACATTGTCAAAATTGACGAGTACATTAACTTAGGTGTATTGCTTAGTAACGTCCGAGAAATTGAATTTGAATTTCCATTCTCAATATCGCTTAAAATATGCTCACAACAACGTTTATTGTATTCGGTATTCTTATAAACAATATTATAAATAATATTTTTCATAAAATTACGATTGATTTTTAAGAGCATGCAATAAGTCCTTTAAAAGGTAATCTTCCAGTATCAGCTAAGTCTAAAGCCAAACCCATTACAGACGTACAAGGGACAGGCCCTTTCCTTATTTTTGCAACGATATATGCATTAGCTCACCCTCATGCAACAGTATCTTTGTTCAAATATATGCACACAATCCGGTTAGGAGCTAATCGTATTTAAAAGGGTTTAGGTTGTCGAGACTACGATACACAGTCCGACTTCAGAAGAAACATAATCCTGCAGTATCATTTGCAGTAGTTGACCATGATTAGTGGTTGCTCTATATGTATAACAATCTTCTCACTGTGCAGGGTTCAGTGCCCAATCCCCAACCACTCCAATGCATAAGCTAATGGTACTAGTGTACAAGACATCTCGCGCACGGGAGATGGAAGTCTCTTTGTATGTTTAGATACATTAGGAAGTAGACGAGTTGTATGCAGAGAAATGAGTACATTTTTAAGCATCATATGTTTTGGTACCAGTGCATACTTGGGTATTTTGCTTTTGTCGCATGTTTTAAAAACTTTTCGCATTTATCTTTTCCTTTATTTTTTATGTCGCCTGCACTTGGCACTATATATATATATATGCTTGGCACTATGGCTTTGGTAAATAACCATAGTTACCGACCTCGTGACCTTTGATCTTGACGTTTGACCTACTTTTCAAAATATTTCATAGTGCCGATATAAGCATATTTTTGACATTTAAAAGGTAAGTCCATGCTATTTAGCATGTCCACTGTTTGTCATAAGACAATATGAAATATATCAGCATTACAATCCACTTGACGTTGACCTTTGCCCTTCTTTGCAAAAAAAATATCGCGGGCAGTTTCATTAAACTTTTGAATTTTGAGAGACAGGGTTTAGATAATTAGCATTTATACATGTTTATGAGCTCATGATAGTGTAGTTTGAAATCGTATGATATTCAGTTATCAGACAAACTTATATTTAAATACTATAGACATACATCGGGATCGGTATTCCACAATAGATCATGTAGTGCATAAACTATCAGTCTATCATGTTTATAGTAAATAAAAATCTGACCATTCTTAGATTTATTTACACCTTTAATGAAGCTACAAAGCAGGCGACACATGGAGAACACTCTAGTTTATACAGAGCGTAGATATTGGTTGTTGGCTCATCTATAATAAAGAGGGCTTCTTGTCATGCAAGGAAATCTTCTTTTCATGCTAATATAGAGTTAGATAGACAGCATGCATCCATTTTCTGGCAGGGAAAGGGGGGATGAAATGGAGGGAAGTCTGCCCAAAAATCAGGGCCTTGCTCAGGATTGTCGACCCTCCTCACATTTTAGTTTTTCATTGTGGGGGTAACAACATACCTGTTACTGAAGGGGATAAGTCAGTAGAGTTAAGATTTGAGACATGTGACCATTAACAGCTACTAAGCTGAGAGGGCATTAACCAGCAAGCCACGGAGAAGATAAGAAAGCGCCCCAATAGCAATGTTGCAACATCTTTAATAAAGGCGGGGGAAAGACATATTGGGCACCCTGGGATTCGCGCTGATAGTCCATATATGTTTTGAAGTGACAAGGTTCACCTTTCAGATTTGGGCAACAACTTCTTTTTGTATAGGTTACAACAAGGGTTGCAGGCTTTCCTTTCAAACCCTGACTAAAAGGTTTCACTAGCACAGGAAGAGTTTCGCCATGGGTGCACTTTGGCTAGTTATGGGGTTATAGTTTCAGCCATTCATTTAGCATGGCTGCATTTTTGTATACTCGATTTTTTTTGTTTTGGTTTGTTTTTTTGTTTTTTGTTTTTTGTTTGTTTGTTTGGTTTTTTTTTTTGGTTTGTTTTGTTCCTGACTGTTATTTGCGATGCTTTTCGCTTATTTGGGCAATGTTTTTGCCCCAGCGCCATTTTGATGATGATTTGCTTATTTGGGCAATCCCCCCAAAGGTTTTTGCATATTGCTAACTATGCTTTACTTTTGAGCATATGTTATTTTTCATTGCATTTACGTGTAGCAATATTGCTAACAGGTCCGCGTTCTTCAGTTTTAGATATACATGTCACAGTATGAAGTAAATATAATGAGATTGATAATTTTCTTTTTGTTCGCTAAATTTTCTCTTTCAATTTGCAACTAAACGTTAACCAGTATCAGTGATGCTTTTACTTTCGCCTTATAGCAGATCATAGTAAATATTAATTCTGTCACACATGTTCTTCTGGTGGCACAGACCATGTGTCATACGGTTTCGAGGCGGCAGTTAGTCGTACCAGAAACTTTACTGAACTCTTTGTCCTTAACTGAACATTTTATGTACATATGGACTAATCAAAAAAGGTGAACATCTGTTCCCAGGGTTTCTTTGCATTTTTATGGATACCATTATAAGGCAGTATATTGATGCCTCGACTCCCTCATGGCAGTAGCCCATTCGGCCCAATAAAATTTAAATCGGTTTTTAAATGCGTTTTTGTCATTGAATAAAATAAGGCTATATATATATATATATATATATATATATATATATATATATATATATATATATATATATATATATATATATCATGAGGCGTTATCTTGAAACACATACATTTTTAAAGCAAAACGAGCTTTTATTTTGGAATAAATTAATTTATGCGCTAAGTGAGTTGGGTGGAAATAAAGAGATAGTGTAATAAATAATTTCAAACAGAAACGCTATGCACGGGGTTATTGTTAAACACAATGGCGAACAAAAATCATGATTTGTGTGATGACAAGGATTAATATAAAATTATTAAGTTTTTATCGACTTCTTGACACGTGAACAATTTTTGCTTTTATTAAAAATCACTCGGTTCAGTTAACGCCAAAAAACTGACGCTATAAATTCTCATTATGTCAGAATTATCGTCCAAGTTAGCATAATTTCTGTTTTTGTAATTTTATGCGAGTATCGATTAGTAAAACTACTTCTCGGTAGAAGACATTTTATATGGTAAATCAGTAGAAAAAAAATGTAAATTGTTTATAAATGTCTCCCATTTTATTTACCGTTAGATCTATTTAAAGTAAGACCTAGCCTTTTTACCAATACGATACATTTGTTTTGATTAGTTTTTCACACTTTATATAATTGATGGCTTTAATTGTCAAGGGGTATATATACACGTTTTTGAAGATTTGAGTTAATCACAATTACCTCAAATAAAACTGTGTGAGTTAGTCCGCAGTACATCATAGAAGACAATACCGCCATATATATCAAAGCATGGAAATATTTTAAAAGAATGGCTGATTTCAAATCCGTGAGCTGTTATTTATGTAAATGGAATTAATATATATAGGTGGGGCAACAAATATGTTAAACCACCGCAGACTGAAATTTTACTCTGAAACCAGCGATATATAAAGGACATCCCGCAAAACAGCCAACTATTTCGGGATGTTTGAGAACAAATACGTTTGTGTTTGTATTTATAAATAAAATTCACATGCAGTGCATGTCTGTTTTTGAAATGATAAGATGAATATAGAAATTTAAATGACTATGATGATGTTACATATAGTGTATATTACAGTTACTAATCAGTGTATAAATCGCAATCAAGGATGTTAAGAGGTCTAAAGAAAAACATCCGAGTAATCGGTTACTCGATAGGAAAAGTAAGCGAGTAACCGGTTACTAAAATCGTCCGATTTGACAACACTACTATATATATATATATATATATATATATATATATATATATATATATATATATATATATATATATATATATATATAAAGGATAAGTGCATTATAAGTGCAAAGGATAAGTGCATGTATTATACGGAATATACGGGAATGGAAAATCACTTCGCTGTAGTTTAATTTGACTAAGTTTTTTCTTTCAAACTTTACAACACGCCAAAGTACCACTGAATGGAGAGTTACTTCATGTCCAAAGCATTAGTATTAAACTTGTTCATGAACTAAGCACAATTTGAGAAATTGTTTTTCGATCTTGAAAAGAATGAAATGACTGATTTGGTTTTGGGAGGAATGGTTTTTGTCTTATTTCCATTGTCTTTATAGGCTGTAAGTCTTCTTACAAACAGTATAATGCTTTCTGATTTAATGGTAAGGAAGCTTTTTGTGCCATAGCACTGCAATTAGGAAACCTTTATATTACAAAAGATAAACTGAAAACTGTCAAAATGAACAGTGTAAAATTTTTTGTAATTATTGAATTTTATTTCAAAACATACAAACAAATATTGGTACAATATCCGCAGATATCCCGGTGAATCGATATCCGCACTTTTGATTGTTTATAAGATATAAATTTGGAATATATGTACATGTATTAAAAATGGTTTATCAGCATATGCTAGATAAAATGCTTTAAGGAACAATTTACATGAATGTTTCTTACAATGTATAAATATATTGAGACATCATATGTAAAATTCACAATGTGAATATTTTTTTACTCGATAGCAATTTTTTTTCTACATATATATATGTAATATTGATCACTCCTTAAACATGAAACTAATAACAATTTGAATAATGTACGGTGAACAATTTACATATCATAATATATAGAATACATTTTTTAAAAAAAAAAAATACAAAAACAGAAATTATACTAACTTGGACGATAATTCTGACATAATGAGAATTTATAGCGTCAGTTTTTTGGCGTTAACTGAACCGAGTGATTTTTAATAAAAGCAAAAATTGTTCACGTGTCAAGAAGTCGATAAAAACTTAATAATTTTACATCAATCCTTGTCATCACACAAATCATGATTTTTGATCGCCATTGTGTATAACAATAACTTCGTGCATAGCATGTCTGTTTGAAATTATTTATTACACTATCTCTTTATTTCCACCCAGCTCACTTAGCGCATAAATTAATTTATCCCAAAATAAAAGCTCGTTTTGCTTTAAAAATGTATGTGTTTCAAGATAACGCCTCATGTCATTATCAAGTTTGTTCAAATCTGTGCCATCCATCAACACTGCGATCAGGTGCCTATTTTTCTCCATTAAATTCTGATGAAAGGCTGTCTTGAATTCCAGTCCACACCATTTACTGGCAAGAAAGGCTTCCGATATGATCATAATCGTATGCCTGCTATTGTCGATGCTTTCAATTATGTTATCGGATATAAAACCTCCAAGTTTGAAGTCTCGTTCGTGAAGACAGAGCTTAAGTTTAGCTGGAGATTCTGTAAGTTTTGGAATTAATACCCGATTCACCCATTCCGCGTCTTGATGACTATAAGACAAAAAAGCGTCGTACTCCTTCATCAAAGAACTCTCCGATACATGTATAACTGGTTTGCAGATTTTCATGCGCAGTCTGGTATACGAAAGGATATGCAATTCTTTTCGATATTTAGAAATTACGACAATGAGGAAAAATACGAATAAAGCCACCGACAACATTATTATCAAATTTAAATACAGGGCACTGTATGATTTTAGAGTCTCAGTCACGTAACATAGCTTGGAGACATTCAAATTACTTATTTTCTTGCCTCTTAATTCGACAGGATGATAACAAGTAGCATTTGCTAGGTAACGATAATACTTTTTGAATTTTAGGTTAAAAGTTTTCGTTGCTGTTATCATTTCATCAACAAATTTAGAACAGTGGCAATCAAATTTATTGTTAGTTAGGTCAATCTCTAGTGGATACACTCTCAGGAGTTCTTTGTCAGAAAAGAAAGATATGGCATTGTCTCTCAAGTTCACCGATATGGTCTCTGATGAAAAGCTCTCCACGATGAAGGGAATTCGTTCAAATCGGTTGTAAGAAAAGTCAATGTGAATGAGAGATGGAAACTTGGCCCACCACCAGTTTCCCTTTCTAATTGCTTCAGGGAGATGCTGTAGCCCCAGGCCAGAAAAATTCATCACTTGCAAGAACGGAAAGCGCCCCGATTCCAGAAAATCATTTATGGAATAATATTTCATGTTCGTCGCACCACCTTTTTCCTTTGAATTTGAAATTTCCAGATAAATTAGATTATAGTTTGTTTTATGTACCCTGAGATATTCTCTGTATTTGAGAAGTTTATCCAAGTACTGATGATCCATCTGGAAAGATTCTTTATATACATAGGATACATTTGTTTCCCTGAAGGTCATCAAAGAGGCTGACACTATAGACCATCCGTATTGAAACAAATGTTTGTTCTGCTCCCAGTTCACGATTTGCAAATACTCGTTATACTCACTTAATTCGAATATAACGTCACTAAATACTAGATGACGTAGGACGTTATCTGGTGCTCCAGAGAAATTTCTGTATTGGTCTGTGCCTTTAACTAAACAACCGCAGACTCGAAGATCTTGAAATTTCGATGAAATGATTGGAATAGGAAGGAAAAGGGAAGAATTTCCTTGGCACTTGATTTCCACTTTGACGAGATTTCCGCTCGTGTTTGACAACTTCGACTCTATATCCTCCAGTGTGTGTTCTTCAAAGTTGGAAATGACGTGGATAATGTTTTCTGCAAAGATGCTTAGGTTATTCATTTGATCATCACTCGGCAAATTTACAGTTCTGTTATCTTCATTTGCGCAACTTTCTTTAGTAAAATTTATACAAATAACTACAATGCACAAAAGAGTACGAGATATCATGATTCAACGTTTTGCATGCAGATTATAAGTATCACTTTAACGCAATAATGCCATAGGAAATGTACATGAGCATGGAATAAGCTAAGGTCTAAAATATCAATTTGTGTTTGCTGCATAAATATGTTTAGCTTGTTTACAAACATCTGGTAGATAGGACCAATCGGGCGCAGCAATAATGACGCTTTCGTGACACACATTCAGTCAATTTTATTTTTTTTCAAAAGATTTTTATAATGTTATTCTTGTCTCAATATTTGTTTTCAAAAACTTCTTTTTATGTTTCAAACTTTCAAAATACAAACCTGATATCATATGAATAGAAAGAACATTTGTGAAACTCTGATTCTTACTAAATTCATGGTATTTTTCTTTGAAAGCACAAATACATTGTATTTGTAATTGCAGACATTATATTATACGAGGTACAAAAGTGAGCATAACACTAACATGCACATGTCGAGATACATATATACATTGTGCAAGTTATATACAAGATTTATCGCGGATTTTGAATTTATGCTCTTGATAATAACAAAGGAGTGTAAAAGATATAAATTAAAGGTATATGACCCATTTGGAATACCTCTGTCAAGGTAAAAATAATTTGAAATCGGTTTATATGCAGTACCCTCTATTCATTTATCTCTTTACTGTTTGTATCGACAATTTTGAGACATTCGTGATTTAAATTTCCCAGTTGAATGCATTCTTAGCTGTAGTGTGTGTGTATGTGTGTATGTGAATATGATTAATGCAATTTACTACCTACTGCAGTCAAATTTGCCAATGTCTTTATTTCAACACAACACCCTTAAAATGGCCCTCTTGCGCACGAACTAATTTCCCGAAGCCGATTTTATTCACCCTGTGTGCGCTGATATATAAGGTTGCGGTTTGCGATAGTGGTCAGTGAGTTTGCAACAGCGATGGTGACCTTGTAAATGCAAGCATAAAGAATACATATGGAAATTTATTCTTCTAAAACGCAAAAGCAGGATTTTCGTGCATTTTTATGAAATAGTTGCGCTTCAATTATCATTCATTTACTAGTTTGGGCAATTAAACATCTTACTTTTAATCATGGTTACATATTTATAGATCAAATACGTCTTAAATTACTTCTGAAAAGGTAAAAATTAATTTTCTATATACATGTTTGATGATGTGTTAGCAATTTTGTTTAGTGTATTGCGTAAAAATAGCATTAAAATTCACATGTATATAATGAAGGTTTCGTAATATTCCAGCATTTTTTCACAAGTGCCATAATAGTTCACAAATACTATAGGTGCGACATTTTACATCATATCTAATCTCCTAAATTTTAACATATTTCAGCTTGTCTGTCATCCGCACTTCCTTTTTTAATCAACGCCTGTAACCAGAAGACAGTTTAAAAATTCATATCTATTTTTTTTTTTCAAAAATACCCTCCCACCCCAACCCCCTATAATTTCTTTTATTTGACTTGTTCAGTCTTTCTGCCGTTTAAGTATTGTTGATGTTGTTTTAATAATATGTGTTTCATATATAGACAATTTAAAGTAAAGAGTTTTGCTACTTGCCGTTTTGGACGACACATAAAATGTTGTAGGGGTGAGCCCTGTTGTCCGGCGACCCCACAGTTGATGGCTGTAATTACATTGATCTGACAAATGCGGCCAATATCTCCATACAATATTAAACAACAAACTATAAATGTGGTTTTATTTCAGATTATTCTGAAAAATAAATAAGGAATGTTACAAATACAAGCACATGGGCTTGTGTAATTTATTAAGAGTGTCTGTGGTGGGATAAGTCATTACTGTCTTTGATAACCTGGGGCCCGTTTTACAAAAGAAATTACGACTAAGACATAAATTTAATTCTCTTAGAAAATTTTTAATTTACATTAAATAGAAAATGGTTTTAGTATTCTTAAAAGGTATGTAGAAAGGTACTTTTAAACTAGCAATTTTAAACAGAATCGTTAATTTTGCAAAATTTACCATCAACTGAATTTTTGGTCTTAGTCGTAAGTTCTTTTGTAAAATTTGCTTGTTAAATTAATGAATGAAAATGCTTTATAAGAGCTTTTTTCGTTTGATTCATGGCCGTGAACATGTATCTACAGTTAAAATCTCGGGAAATAATATTCTGTCTAGTATCTTTCAATTAATTATTGTTTGAAATATCTGTAGAATTAAGTTTAAAAAATTATGAGATATTTCCTTTTACTTAATGCCCATAGAACAACCCCCTCCCCCATAATTTCTCCACATATATTAAACAATATAAAACAAAAGTAATTTACGGTTAAACATTTTTTATGACTCGATCTCTCAAATCTCCGAAACTGAAATTGTTTCCTAGGGGTGCGTACTGAGCAGGATTTCAACCTTTAAAAAGGTTGCCCAGAGATAGCATTAGCTGCTTCTATTTGTAGACACTAGTAGTAAAAAAAATTCATGCACTTGCCTTGTTATGCATAAGTGAAACGTGCAAATTTACAACAAAAAAAATGCAACATAAATGTGGTTAAAAACTTTTTGTAAAATCTTACTGAATAGGATGTTAGAGCATATGCTTTGCAATTTAACAGACCATATACTGTCATGCTTGACAATGTTGTATTACCTGCATTAATATTAATTTTATGGAGTCGGGGGTTTTAGAGAATTGCTGAACGTCTAGGCAATGGCCGACGCAAATTTCGGGTACCTATTAACTGTGAAAAGAAAAGAAACTTTAAAAAAAAAACAGAACGGGAGGAAAGAAAACAGTTAATAAAAAGGAAAGAAAAAAGATATATAAATAAAGTACTAAATTTAAGGTGGATCTGAAATGTACGTAATTTGTTAAGCAGTTTTGGACGGTGCTATTACAACAAGAATGAACACAGAAGCTATAATTAGCACCTTATTTCTTTGGTCACATAGTTTATAAACTATGTGACTAAAGACATAAGGTCCAAAAATGTTAATCTAAAGGAATTCAATTAATGACGAGGCTGCCTCCGCGGCGAGTTAAACTGTGGAGAGACTACAAAGTTAAATACTTGAATAAACAAATGTCTCCGGGATTTGTTCGGGACAATAGAAATGATTGATAGATCATTTATTGTTTGTGTTTGTAAATATTATGTGATGATATGTAAATTGCTGTTTTGTGCATTCTATAGTTAGTTGGCACTGCCGAGACAGCCACCCTAGACAGCTTGTTGCAACCACTATTGAAATAATGACCACTATTGAAATAACTACTATAGTATTTCAATAGTGGTTGAAAATACATTTTAAACCAAGTACTACAGCAGTTACTATTGGAATATAATCCCCACTCCAGAAAAAACAAGATGTGTTTGTGAAACACTGATACCCCCGTATGGCAACTTATAGCAAAGGTTAAATGCAAATCAAATATGTTGCTACCCAAAGTAAGGTCTCGTCTCGAGAAATATACCTGTGAAATATGAAAGCCCTAGCAGTAATCATTGAATAGATATTGAAAAGGTTAAAGTTTTTCAAAAGTAAGTCAACATCAAGGTCAATGTCAAATGGTCAAAATTAATGGTGCCCAAGGAGATGCCTTCTCACAAGAAATTCACATGTGAAATATGAAAGCCTAGCACAAATTGTTCAAAAGTTATGGCCAAGGTTAAAGATCTTCAAAATTAGGTAAAACTCCAAGGTCAAGGTCAGAGGGTCAAATTTGTTGGTATCCAAAGGAAGGTCTTGTCACAAGAATTACATATGTAAAGTATCGAAGCCCTAGCACCAATACTTCAAAAGCTTAAAGGTTAAAGTTTTGCAAAAGTAGGTCAAACCCCAAGGTCAAGGTCAGAGGGTCAAAGTTGTTGGTATCCAAAGGAAGGTCTTGTCACAAGGATTATGTGAAGTATGAAGGCCCTTGGTCATAACTTTTGAACGGTTGGTGCTAGGGCTTTCATAACATATGTAATCCTTGTGACAAAACCTTTCTTTGGATACCAACAACTTTGACCCATTGATCTTGTTCTTGAAGTTTGACCTACTTTGAAAAAAACTTTAACCTTGGCCATAACTTTTGAACAGTTTGTGCTAGGGCTTTCATATTTAAAATGACTATTCCTTATGACAAATCTTTCATTTGGATACCAACACTTGTACTCCACTGACCTTGAAGTTTGACCTACTTTTAAAAAACTTTAACCTTGGTCATAACTTTTGAATGATTGGTGCTAGGCTTTCATATTTCCCATTTGTATTTCTTGTGAGATTTGACCTTGACCTTGATGTTTGACTTACTTTTGAAAAACTTTAACCTTTTCTATATCTTTTCAATGGTTGTTGCGAGGGTTTTCATATTTCACAGGTATATTCCTCGAGACAAGACCTTACTTTGGGTACCAACTTATTTGATTTACATTTGAGAAAGTTTAACCTTTACTACAAGTTGCCATACGGGGGCATCAGTGTTTCACAAACACATCTTGTTTTTGCTTTTTTATTTTTGTTTTTTGTATTTTCCTTTTTTTTTTTTTTGGTTTTTGTTTTTTGTTTTTTGTTTTTTTTTTTTGGTTTTGTTGTTTTGTTCTATTTTTGTTTTGTTTTGTTTAGTTTTTTTGTGTGTGTGTTTTGGTTTTTTTTTTTTTGTTTTTTGTTTTTTGTTTTTTTGTTTGTTTGTTTTTTTGTTTTGTTTTTTTTTTTGGTTTTTTTTTTTTGGTTGGTTGTTTGTTTGTTTGTTTGTTTTGTTTGTTTGTTTGTTTGTTTGTTTGTTTGTTTGTTTGTTTTGTTTTGTTTTCAAGAAATCGAGTCGATATAGAGTAATTCTTTTTTAACTTTTTAATATATTTATTTTCCTTTTGTAATCGCTTTTGATCATTGTTGATACTATGTACCTCCGTTCCTTGGCTAGAACGTCAATTTCATCAGGTTAAGCCAGTTAACCAAGTATTTTTTGATCATGGCATTAAAATTAAAGCTTGATAACGTGATTTTTTTTTTCTAGAAACATAAATAATCAAGGAAATGAATG